CCCCCCCATTTTCTTGACCGGTAGCAGAGTGTGTGCTGCTCAGACCTCAAAGGGCGGGGTGGATCCTCGGTGTAGACTCGGAAGGGTCACTTCCTGAGCCCTCTGGGTGACCAGAGCAGGCCGGGCACTTACTCCGTGCCCACAGCACAGCCCCAGGCCCTGGCCAAACACAAATCCCAGGCACACTCTTCAGCCCAGGGTGATGGCCTCTCTTCAGCAACACCGATGCTGTCCCGCTGGGCAGTGTCCATCTCTGCAGATTAAAAAAAAAATTCAATCCTTTTAATGGGCAGTTTCTTCAGGCCTTTAAGAGAGGACATTTGAGGATGTTGGGGATGTGGGTGGGGACGGCGCTGATGATCTGGGCTCTCCTTTAGGGACAGGAAGATGCCTGATTGTGACCCTGAAGTCCAGAATTTGGACTTCATGTCCAGAAATCAAGGGCTGTCATTAAATGACTTGGTCATGAAGTCCTCCTGTTTTCTCTAGGTTTGCATGGTGGACACTGGCTGTTTGCGACCACCCAGTACCTCCTGCTGCTTCTTCCGGTAACAGCAACAGAACACTGTGCGCTGGGGACCCACTCGCTCTTACCCTGGGCCCTGTGGTCCCAGTGGGGCTTGGCCCTAGTTCCAGGGTGACCAGTCAGCCCAGATGGCTCCCCTCCACTGACGTGGGTGAAGGAATCAGCAGGTGAAGGAAAATTCTTTCATCGATGGCCTTGGAGCTGCGAGGACCGGCTCTGTGGCAGCCCCGTTGCCATGAGGAGGGAAGACTTTCAGTGGTGGTGAGTGACCAGGGACATGGGGAGATACTGCGCCCTGAAGACAAGGGCTGGGGCCCTGGAGTCCATCGCACCTGAGCGTGTCCACCCAGGCCTGCCCCAGACCCCTTTTATTTAACCAGCTTTGAGCTGAGTTTATGCAGCTTGCAAACCCGCCCCTCCCCACCTGCACACTTCTGTGTCCCGGCTGCCTGAGCAAGGGCTTCGTGGTGCTTTATTACCACCGAAGTCAGGTGTCAGCCCTTCCTCCCAGGCCCCTGTTTCCACTAAATAACTTTCATGTTCTCTAATAACGTGGCTGTAGCATTTCATTTGCCCCAGGAACCCGCCTGAGGGTGTTGTTTGGCTGGGAGTATTACGTAAAGCTTTCAACAAGCAGAATTAATATAAAGTTATCTCCTTCCTAGGTGGGAGGCTTCCTCCCCAGCTTCTGAGTAAATGCTGATACCACCCCAGGACGAGCGGGTGGGAAGCTCTGAATCACCCTCCATCTCAGATGGGCCCTGAGTGTCCGCTCCTAGAAATTGGGAGCAGCAAGGAATGGCCAAGGCAGGGGCCTCTTCCGTTATGAACTCCTGCCGTGAGCATTAAAAAATGCGATGTGATGGAGGAGTGAGGGGGGAGGGTTAAAAATTCTTTTGCTTTATTCTGTGGGTTTGACCATAAAAAATAATGGCTTCTCTTTTTATTTCTCCAAGAAAGTCCACATCCATATCTGAACTGACAGGTAGGAAAGATACTGTAATTTCCATTTGACATGGCCAGAGCCGAGATGCAGAGGAAGGAGCGAGGGTGGGAGCTGGTTATGAACCTGCTTCCGTGCAGCCTCCCTCCGGCGCTCAGGATGTGCTCAGGATGCGCACCGTCTCTGTTTCCCGACCGAGCGGTGATGCTTTAGGGTGTCCTGCTTCAACACTGGGTGCGCGAACTTGCCACTGGACACGGGATCCCTTGTCCAGGATCCCAGAAGTTTCCGACTGATAGAAGCATTTGGCGAAGGGCGCGCGCTTCAGCTGATGTTATGATTTCATTAGTAACCCCTAAGACCAGTTAACTGTTAAAGGCGACGTTCAGTATTTCGGAAGAACTTCTGGAAGGTTTAAATCATTATTAAAGCCGATGCCTCCTTAAAGTTATCATCTCAGAGGCAGCAAACTGGATCGGGTAGGAGGGACAGACATCGGCAAGACGACAGCCCAGCTGTACCTTAATGATGGAATAGCAACGGCGACGTCATTGCAGGCACAGGAGGTCCCTGAGCTCTGCCTCGGTCAACACGCGGGAATAGGGGAGGTCAGGATGCTCGGGCCTGGGCTCCGGCTGCACCGTAACCAGTGGCAACCCCGGCCCACCAGTTCCTGGCTGGCAGCCTTGGGCATGTTGCTTTTTCTCTAGCATCTAGTTCCTTATTCTGTAAGATGCCCTTAATAACAGTAACTATTTTACAGGGTTACAAAGATTAAATGAGTTGATACTTAGAAAACCTCAGTCCTTGGCCTCAGGCCACTAAATACTCACCAAATGTAGCTGTCATTCTCAGCACAGCCCCAGCTCCATCAACAGCAGCATCGTTGTTGCTGTAAAAAGAAACGACCAAGTTAGGTCCCTCTTTGGGGGGATCTAGGGACCCGTCTCCCTGTGACCACCACAGTTAGCGTCCTGACTCCGGGGTCCCTGCCCTCGCTTGTCTCCCTTGAAGGATGGATGTGTTTTGCACTTCAGACCTCGAGCCTCATACACAGGAGTCAGAACAAAGTAGGACAAGAGATACAGTTTCTTTACACTAATATCGTGTCTTGTGTCATTCAAGCCAAATGACTCAGCCGCCCTACACGCCACTAACACGTCAGAGGGGCCGTGGCCATTTTCCATGGAGCTAAGGTGTCGTGCGCCCACTGTACCAAGCACAGCTCTTATGATACAGAAACATTTTAACAGGTTTTAATGACAAATCTAAATATATGACTTAAAATGTTTAAGTGAAAAGTTGTAATTATGGATTATAAAATAATATAAGTTATTTCCTCCTGTTACATACCGGTGAGAACCGGGGAAAGAAGGTAAGATGTGTGAGGTGGCGTTTTCACGTTATGTATAAACGATAACTAATGTGCCCGGAAGAGCAGTGGTGTCCCCATTGCAGGCAGAAGGCAACTAAAATTTAATTTCCCTCCCCCCAAGGCGTTCACAACGATTATTCATTTTGGGCGAATTTTTTGAGACAGTAGTGGGCTCATTCGTTACGCTGCAGACGGGAGCCTCAGAGGAGAACCCCGAGTGAGACAGACGCACCTGGGGGCTCGTGAGCTGGGGGAACACAGGTCCGGCCGGCTGTCAGCGAGCAGTTCGAGAGCAGGGCCTTCAGGACGCCCACTGTGAGGTTTAGCGGCCCCCGCGATGACCACGTGGCCCATCAACGACCCGCACCAATGCCACAGGAAGAGCGTCCCCGCTGGGGCGGGGCGGGGCGGAGGCNGGAGGCGGGCGGGCCTGAGGTGCGGGGGTTCACAGCCCTGCTCTGCCCGGCTGCTCGCCCGGTTGCGGCCCACGCGGGAGATCACGGCTCTGTTTGTAGAATCTGCAGTCAGATTAAGGGAGAGTTTGCAGCTATTTAGAACAGATTTCGGAAGACAAGCCTTTGATCTTCCCAGGCCTCCTGCCCCGCAGGTCTGGCTGCTCCGTGGAATAGTAAGAGGCGAGCGCCTGCTTAATGAAGGCATCGCCCCTGAGTGAAGGCATCGCCCCCGAGTGAAGGCATCGCCCCCCAATGAAGGCATCGCCCCCCAGTGAAGGCATTGCCCCGACGCTGTCTCACTCGAGGGGGAGCCGGGTCAGGTGCGCCCACTTCCTACTGTCCTCCCTCCACGGCAGGCGGCCCCGTCGGAGTTGCAGGATACCCATCAACCTCTTTGACTAAAAGGGGCAGGTGACGGGGAGAGCAGCCGAGTGAGGGGGGAGCCAAGAGGCCCTCGGGACTCGGGTCCAAATTTCAGGGCTGCCGTTCACTTGGACCCTTGACATCTCAGCCCCGGTTTCCTTCCCTAGGAGAGGAGGAACTGGATGCTCCCTGGAAGGCCCTCGGGACTCCCTGCAGTCCTGTAAGCAGCACGGGCNCCGGGGACCGCCACTACCCACGAGCGGCCTCACGTGGCCTGGGAACCGCTGCTACCCACGAGCGGCCTCACGTGGCCTGGGAACCGCTGGCCCGGCGAGAGACCACGCGACTGGCCGGCGCTGCGCGCTGCTCGGTGCTTCCCGCGGGCCCGG